GAATTAAAATAATTAAAATGAATAATTGATAATTTGAAATAGTAAAAGGTCCAAAGGTGTAGGGGTGGTAGGAGGGGAAGGAGAAAGGAAAGAAGGGAAAGGAAAAATTATGAGAAAAGAAAAAAAAATGGAAACAAAATCTGTGTAAATAGGGAAAGGTGGAGGGGGTAAAGGGTACACAGATAATGGGGAAAAAAATAAGACCCAAGATACATGTACAGGTACAAGCACCCAATGATAAATGTAAACATACTGTATACCTAAAATGTACCAATAAAATAATTTTTTAGAAAATTCCTGTGTTAATGCTTGTAAATTGCTTATCGCAGGTAGCTATATTGCTAGTATTTAGAACCCCTAGGAAATGACGACTTTCCAGAGATGTCTTCCAGGTTAGCTTTTGGATTTTGAGTTTGTTACAACATCTTACCTCTTCGATTTTTGGGGGGTGAGAAGTTGCTGCCTGTTTGTCCTGGCACTGGCCTATAGTATTGTTTATGACCCTTGGCAATCTCAGTCTTGGCTTACCAGGAAGAACAATTTTGTCATCTTGGCTAAAGTAGTACAATCAGCAGTAACAATACCATCAAACACAGAACTGTGGTAACCATTAATTTGCCACCTTTAACCATGTGAACTGTATTTGTGGTTATATAACAAACTCTAAAACAAACCAGAAAAGTGTATACAGTGAATATGCCCTCAGTGTGGCAGTTTTACCCTCATGGGAGAAAATTTAAGAGTTCAGGGGGGAAAATAGAGAAATAGAAGAAAAAGAAGAAGAGATTAGAGGCAAGGCTTAAGGATATAGCAAGATTACACAAACTTTGGGGAACTGGTGAGGAAGACTGGAGGGAAAGGGGAAAAAGAAAAATTAAGAACAGAACAGAACAACAAAAAACTAGAGACAGTAGTCATACTTACAAACAAGAACAAGAAAAACAGAAAAATCAAAACAAAAACAGAAAATAAGAAAAGAAGTGCACTTGTGAGTTGTGTCTCTGCTGTCACTGTTAAACAAAGTGGGCAGAAAGAGTCCAGATCCATGTTGATTAATGCCAACAAGTCAGCTGTAGATTTATGGCATGGTAGTAGATAATCCTACCAACTCTGTACCTTTAGTTATGAAGCTTAGGCTGGATTTTTGCTCTGAGGCTGAAACCCGTTTTGATCAGCCTGCAACAATCCGTGTGTTTCCTGCCAGTGTGAACTTAGCTCCTTGACCTCTTGAGACTTGAATTTAGTTCTCCCTCACCCTGATGGAGTCTACCTGTAGCTGCTCTGAGTTCCAAGCTCAATTGACCCCTCTGTAAGATGGCTACTGGCCAGTTGCCTTCTCCTGGGTGATGTCTGAACCCAAATAACTCAACAGCTACTGCAATCCACTGCCCCATTCCACTGGCGCATTTCTCCCTGGAGGCCTCTGGAGTTGCTGGTAGTCATCATGCATTTGTTTATAGGTTCGAACCACCCTTCCCACGCTGAGTCAGGGCTCAGGGACAAACCACCGCTTACTATCTCCTTCTTCATTGAAATCTCTGTTCCTTGTCCCCATGGGCTTCAGTTCTTGCTTCAGATCTTTGCTGGGTCCTGGGGAACCAATTTCCTCCTTTTCTTCCTAATGTTGCTTTATTCCATTGTCAAGTCTTGAAGAGGCTGTTTCTTTGCTGTTCACCACTCCTCCGTCTTTTAAGTCAGAAGACTTGAGTAAAACCAAGTTTAAAACAAGTCAGGAGTTCCATTTAAGATAAGATTAAGTCATAGCTGAAGAGATAAATCAAGAAAGCACCAACAAAGAGGAGATGCCAAAGCACTGTGGGCATTGTCCTCTGGGAGGACTGCAGCTAGGCTCTGATTGGCTACTTTTCCCACAGCCAGCCTCTGTCTGCCTGTGCACATTAGAGTGCAGGTTTCATTACCATTCCCCAGTCTGAAAGATTCAGTACATGTGGCAGTACCCATCACTTAGGCCTCTAGACTAATGCTGGGCCTTGTTGTGTTTCTACAAGGTAGTGGTTGGCCTTCAGTTTCTTGCAGTGTGATCTGGATTCAAACTAAAGACCTTGACATGAAAGGATCTAGAAAACTGCGGGCCCCATAATCTCACCCTTGCCTTACTTAGGCAATTAGAGGCCATGGAGAGATGCTTAGGAGCTCCATTTTCACAAAGAAGCACAAGTTAAGGACCTTAAAAAAAAAAATCAGTCAAAAGTTTTGAGCCAGGCATGGTGGTGCATGCCTATAATCCCAGCACTTGGGAGGCAGAAAGGATGGCCACAAGTTCAAAACCAGCCTGGACTGCACAGCAAGAGCCTGTCTCAAAAAACTTAAAAAAAAAAAAAAAAAGTTTTGAAAGAGTTAGAAAAGAGAATTATAAATTGTCTATTTTTAGTGATTGGAAATTATCTCAGCCTCCTTGAAGTCTCCCCACTTTGTGCCTTTCTTTTTTTTCCTTTGGTACTGGGGATTGAACTCAGGACCTTGCACTTGCGCAGCAGGTGCCAGAACCACTGAGCTAAATCCCTGGCCCCTTTGTGCCTTTCTTACAAGTTATCACTGTATTTTACTATGTGTCCTGTTTTTCCTTAGTGCAGAGCTTGTGACACAACCATCTATACAGCCTACAGTAATTGGTGCACTAATTCTGTGTGTAAGAGTTTGTAATAAATGTTAATTAGAGGAATGAAAAATGTTTAACTAAAGAAAGTATATTAGCTTCAGTTACTGTGATGAATTAGAAACTTTCCTCATTGAAACTCATAATTGATCAGCTCTCCAGAAAGACTGTATTGACACCTTGTGTATTTGAACACAGGGCAAAATCTAGACAGCATGCTTCATAGCACTGGGGTGAAATCAGACTCTGATCCTAAGAAGGCAGAGAATGGAGTGACCTTAGCACCAGAAGACACCTTGCCTTTTTTAAAGTGCTATTGCTCGGGACACTGCCCGGATGATGCTGTTAATAACACGTGCATGTAAGTATTTGGTGTGGTGCTTCAAAGTTAAGAGGAGTGCATTTAGTGCTACTTTAAGAATTGTTAAAATTGTCTGAGTTTTTTTCATTATATATGATATCTTTCCACAGAGCCAAAAGACTTCATTTTTTTGAATACAGGAGCATTGTTACTATGAAGTTGTAGATGATTATTTTATTAGTTACATTTTAATATAGTCTTCTAAAGGAGATTAAAGGAAACTAGTATTTTTCTAACATTTTTAGTTTAAGGAATTTATTATAATGTTAATGATGCTCATTGTAGAAAACTTTTTCTTTTTTGTAAGTTGCCAAAAAGAAACCCAAAAATTCACCCATGGCTTCCTGCTTAATTGGTTGAAACAGTTTACAGTTATATAAAAATGATATTGAGATAATTAACTTTGTTGTTTTCTTACCTGTGAGTTTCCAGTCCATATCTGATTTATATGACTATTTTTATTTTCCTAGTTAATTTTATGTTTATATATGACCATGTACATTTATTTCCTGTTCAGTAGTGCTTTCTGATGTGAGATTACATTGTTGTTTTTTCCCACTTAGAACTAATGGACATTGCTTTGCCATCATAGAAGAAGATGACCAAGGAGAAACCACATTAGCTTCAGGGTGTATGAAATATGAAGGATCTGATTTTCAGTGCAAGGTGAGCTCTGATTTGGGGGCCATGAAGTGAAAGAGGGCTGGTCCATGTGAGCAGCATCAGGTCCCCTGGAGAAGTGTCCCTGCTTTGTGTCCACACAGGCAACTGTCCTGGAGGATGCAAGTATTGGGATTGTACTTGTTGGTGTTCCAGGTTATTTATTGTATGTTGAAAGTTTTAAGTCATTCTAGGCTGTCGTTACTGCAGAGCAGTGATGTAGACTTCAGGACAACAGGCAGCTAGGGTTGGAAACTGACGTCCTTGTGAGGCAGTGTCAGTGGAGTTACCTTAACAGCAGTGGCCAAGGAATGCTGAGGATCAGTGGTAGAGTTGGCAGTGTCCTGCCAATATGTTTGAAAACAGCTCCAGATAGAACTGTAGACACATTTTAAGCCTCAGCTATGCCAGAAAATTGTATTATTCAAATTCCACAGGATTTCTAGAAACCTTCAATGTTGTGTATTTCCACTTCTCCATTAATGCTGGGTGTTGCCCACTCCCCAAGTGACTGCAGATCTCTTCTCCTCACTGACTCCTTGAACCTTAGAGAACAGCTCTGATCCGTCCTTGAGATAACAGCCCTTCACTCTGAGAAAAAAGTGTTTCCATCCTACATTCCTACCCACACCCTCTAATCCCTGCCCAGTGAAAATAATAGTTCATGAGGACCTTGGGTGCCCCTTGTATGGTCAGCTTTGGAGTAGTCACGCTGTGGTTGCTCCATGTAATAAGTAGAATTGAGTGTGCTTTGATGAGGAAAAGGAGAGAGGATGAGTAACCCTTTCCTTTTTCTAAATCCAGCAGAATCTCATGTTAGGTCCTTGGCAGTCATACCATGTTCCTGAACATTGTGCTTCTGTGAGCTCAAGTCCCCTGTCTTCCGCTCAGGCCACTGAGCCAGGGCTCCTCCACTCTGTGGGTAGTGTTGGCTTCTGGACACAGATAAGGAGATGGGGATTTTTGCCATATAGTTGTCATGTACTTGTCCACATTAAATTTCATCATATGGGAATTAATCCTTTGTTCTAGTTTGCCAGCATGTGAGTGATGCTAATTTAGTTGTGGCTTCCAGTTTCACGCTGTTAGCATATTACCAATCATAAGTCACTTTAAATAATTGAAGGAGAGCCCAAAGGTAGTAATAACAGGTGCTCTACAGGCTCCTAAACTAGGTTTGTCCCAAACTGAATTCACCCCACTATAAGTTAGTTGCTAAGCCTAAAAGTCTGTGTCCAAAACCATCCTGGTTTCTCTTACAAGCTGTGACTTTCAGCAAGGAACTTGTTTTCTCCTCTGCAAAGGAATCACTATAAGGATTAAATGAAGTAACTAGATGTGAAGAGTTGGTACATAATACAGGATTAATCAGTGTTGGCTGTTGCTATAGTAATGAGCAAACAAGCATATCTGTGGCACACACATACTGCTACACAGCTGTAACGCAGGCTGGTTTTGAGGGAATC